GTTGGTTTTGTCATGACGCGGCTCAAATAGTATTGTAAATATAAAACCTCTTTATGTATATTTATGAAGCTACAACAAACACACAATCAAAACCTAAAGTATTAGATAAATACATTTATGAATTTTTAAAGAAATAAACAAATAAAAAACAACAAATAAACAAATTAACACACAAATAATCGAATAAATAATTAAATAAATAAATAGATAAATATTTCTTTATTGAAAATAAGAAACGGATAAATGAATAAATAAATAAATAAGTAAATAAATAAATAAGTAAATAAATAAATAAATAAATAAGTAAATAAATAAATAAATAAAATACTTGCAATTGTTAACTGGGACTCAACGTGTTGCATATATAATGCAGCAAATTCATTTTTTAGAAAAAAATCACTTTTTTATTCATTTACATATTTTTCTGTTTTCTTAAGAAATCTACTTTTTTTGTTCCTGAGATGTTTAGACCGTTCAATTAAAACTCAAAATCTATGACTATGAACTTTAGACACATGATAAATGATCGTTGTAAACGTTGATCACCATATACACTGCAAATAAAAACAACTATCGATGACTTGATGTCCAGGTGTTGTGTTCTCCGAGTTATTTATTTGACAAAAAAGCCATCAAGTGTTGACCACAAATAATGCATAGATTTCTCTGTAACACTTACATACTATATAAACATCACTACAGCATTATTTATGTGCAATTATAAAAGATTGACTTTTTTCTGGATAAACAGCAAAATTCGACAGGAAGCATTTGTTTTCATACAAATTGTTCAAGTTACAAGTACAACATCGCAAAGCCTAATCATGGTGTCTATACCACGTGACAGTTTTGCAAACTGTGTGGGACAGAAAGCCAAAATGTAATATTTTCATCAACAAACAGTAATATTTCTTGTATTTAGTTTATACAGAATTTATTTTATTTATTAAGTAGGAAGATATAATCTTATAAGCACTCTCTCGAACCTGTTCTAGGAACCTATATGGTAATGAGCAACGAATTTCTTGCTCACAGACTCACCGACGACGTTTTGACCCACAAGGCTTGCGATACCTAGATCCTAGATTACTAGTCCGACGAGTTAACCATTCGGCTTATTTCTAAAATTTCACATTTATAGTGGAAATAAAGAGCCCTAACCCCCTCTTCGCCTCATTCTTGTGAGTAAGTCATTCGTAGAATGTTTTTGATGGGAAAAAAAGAATCCGTTTTTTTATTTTGTAACGTAAGACTACGACGATGGTGATAATAATGAAAAGACTATGTTATAGTACAGAACATATTACCCCTATATATTACTCCAAGTGATTTTGTTTGCATTTTACGAATGGTGCATCTTTTCTTACTTATGGTCTTATGGTGCATATCAAAAAATATTTTACATATGGTACCGAAAATACTGACATTTGGTGCAGGGCAAAACGGCAAAAAAATTCGTATTTGGTTCCGATTTTTTGACATATGGTGCACCATTTTACAAATGGTGCCGTTTTACATATGGTGCCGTAACATACGTGAAATTCTGATGGCTTAAACACGCGGTTTATCTTGCAATACACGTGCAAATTGGCTTGTTTATAGACAAACAAATAGAAAACAAATTCTATTCTATTAAATTCTTTACTAAGATGTTTTTGGCCACTATCCCATTCACTATCAATGTTAACAATAAACATAATATATAATACAGA